TAGGGTCTATGGCTATCGGCTCTCTTATTGTGTCCTTTTTAGAATCAATAAGATTCATACTCGAGGCCCTTCGTCGCAAACTTAAAAGCATTAATCATCCTATGTCCGAAAGCTGGTTTCGAAAGGTGACTTACCAAACTTCACAAGGTTGCTTGAGGTTTATCAGTTGCATCATCAAGTCTGTGAACCGTAATGCTTATATCATGGTAATAAGCTCATTTGCACGATATTTTACCAAAAAAATTGATTTTTCTTGCTTTTTAACAACTCCCTTTTCTCTTTTTATCTGATTTATCTTTTTGCCAGATTGCAATAACCGGAAAAGGTTTCTTTAAAGCCTCTGAAATTGCAACAGAGCTGATTATGAGTAACATCCTTCGAATTGGGAAAGTGAATGTGTTAGGGGATGTCATTCTTTTTATCGGGAAGCTTTGTGTTAGTCTTACAAGCGCGCTCTTTGCATTCTTGATGTTGAACACTCATAAGTACAATTCGGCACATAACAAGATCTCTTCACCTCTATTCCCTGTCCTGGTAAGCCGATTTTAAGGATCGTTTTATCATTCTTTACGCTCATGGATAACAAATATCCGAAATAACCGTCTTTGTTTGAAAAAAAAAAAAAAAAAAAAAAAAAACAGATAAAAAAAACCAATTGTTGAAGTACTTAACATAACTGAATAAAAGAACCTAAAGTGGAATATAAGTACGTGAAATTGTTTGGTAAAATTAGCTAATCAGATAAACTAGTTGAAATAAAAAATTCAACGAGCTTATTTGAAAAGCTACTTAGAAGTTTTTTAAAAATCCCGTCCTACCAAATGGAGTTTATTTGAATGCAAGAAGCTTATAAGCTAACCAAATAAGTTATAAGCTAGTTTATTTGGTTACCAAACATAGCTTTCAGGCTTCACTCTCGAAAATCACTTATTAGCTATCAACTAGCTTATGAGTTAATTTTACCAAACATAGCCTTAACATATTCTTTAAAGATTTAAGAAAAAAAGAAACGGAAAAAGGCCTAAATCTCATTGGTGTTTTTCATATTATCTAAAACTTTTTGATCATTGATTAAACAGGTGTGCTGGGGATTTGGGTACATTGTGGCTACTCTCTTCTTTGGGGTTGTTGAGATGTCAATCGACACCATAATTCTCTCATTTTGCCAAGACTCGGATGAGCACCAAGGCACGGCCCAATATGCTCCTCCGCTGCTTATCCAGACTCTCGACGATCAAAACGAGATGCAAAGGCTGACCCAATGAGCCATTTTTAGACAAACGGCATTCATGTTAACTCGATCAAGTTTCTGATGCAAAAGTGTATTCTTGCTAGTTAAAACTCGTTTTTTTTTCGGGATTATATGATCATTTGTTTGTGTATATATATATATATGGGTTGAATTTGAAAGAAAATCTTGGTTTAAGGAAGTCCAGCACAGTGATGTGTAGTGAATTTTTGTGATAGTGTCTTGAAATTCTGTTCTGCCTGAGAAATGAGAATTTGGAGGAAAGAAGTATTTTTTATTTTTAATTTCATACTTTTCTGTTTTCTTCTTTGCTAAATCTTTTATTCAATCAGATGAACTCATGGCTGCATTAAAAGACACAAATGATCCAAATGTGCCTTTTGCCAGCACCAGCAAATACAATTTATAATTCTGAAATGATGCAAATGAACTTTTGTAACATATCAAACATTTTTTTTTTTTTTTTTTTATATATGTAATAATGAATCTCTTGTGGGTTTTTACAACTACAAGACTGCACCTGCAAAATTACCAACACCGATCAATTCACCGCCTATCATCGTGGCATAGAGGACGATCTCTGAACAATCCCCGGCGAAACCCTGCCGGAATCCGGCGAGGAAATCGAAGCCGATGGCCGGAGAAGAGGCATCCCGACCCGGCTCGATTTGCCATTAGCAAATCTCGACTGGTCCTCGTAAGCAAAAGCATTAGGCACTTGCATCTCGATTTCTGCACTTACATTGGTGAACCGAGGAGTTCCGGGCAGTTGATTGTCGAATTCGTCGATCGATATTACGGTGCTCGTGTCAGTGTGGACAGTCGAGTCGTCTGCAAAACCGCCGCCCAATTTTCTCCTTCTCTTGGCCGCCTTATTCCAGCCGTGTATAGTTTCCCGTATGCTCGGTGGAATTAGGGCCGCCTTGTAGTTTGATCCCATCTAAGACCAAAAACACGAAAAAACAAAAAATGCATGGCATTTAGTTCGAGGGCTCTGCATGGAAAATTTGACCGTCGGATCATTGCATAGATGAACGGTTGTGATCCAACAGTTAAACCCCCGTGAAGCAACGCCCACGATTTATGGTTTATGCTATATTTGGTAAACTTAGCTGATAAGCTAGCTTGTAACTTTTAATTGAATTTTGAGCTTATAGCCGATAACTTATGACTTATAGTTGAAAAACTAGCTTATATGATTAAAGTGTTTAGTAAAATACTAAAATTAGCTAATAAGCTAGCTGAAATAAAAATTTCAATTGACTTATTTGGAAAGCTACCCAAAGAAGCTTATGAGATAAGCTCGAGCTTTTTAAAAAAACTCGTCCTACCAAACTAATCTTATTTGAATACGTGAAGATTATAAGTGATTAATCTATACGGAAGTTTGAAGCTTATATGCTTACCAAACACAACCTTAGCCTAATTACGAATGGACCCAATTGTATCATGAGTTAAAAGTGCCCCCATTTTCACTTATCTTTCTAAGCACAGTTGCAAAAACCAACCGTGTCGACGGCTTACTTGTAACTTCAAACGAATACACGCGACACTAGGCTATTTTTTATTTTACAGACTTGCACATACTGTTGGGAACATTTGTGAAAAAAACAATGCTCAATTCTTGGTATTTTATTTGCAGTAAAAAAGCTGTTTTTTACCTGAGTAACCAATGCATAGAGGGGTAAGGTACTGTAGCTGCATAAAAACTGCCCTGTAAATCTATGCAACAAAAGGCAAAAATGTAAGCTCGTATCACTATTAAGAATAACGTAACTTAAAAAGAGTTTTTTAAGAATACCCGAGAATTAGTCGTAGATAAACAAGAAAATGGTTCTTTATGAAGCATGAATGGTACCCAAACTGCCACTGTAATTTGGAAAAAGCTCGGTCAGATATCGATTATAGAGATAATTCAAATTTTATTTTCTAGTCGTTTAACGATATTTTTATTTTATCATCACTAATTGAAACATCATTTTCATTGGAGAAAAAGTAAGCAAGGAAGAGGAAAATACCCAAAACCAGAAGAATGACGCAAGCTCAAACGCGTTCTGCGCATGTAAACACGCGAAGATCATTGTCAATATAAAAATCAACGAAAGAAATTCGGAGAAATAATTTCAAGATTTTAATTTTAGAATGGAAACTAGACAAAACCTGAAAAAGAATAAAATGAATCAACGACAACAATAGTTCTGGCTTATTAAACCAAAACAGTTCATCTCTGAGTTTAAAGCTCGATCCGCCATAATTCCCACGTATTCCGACACTCTCGAGTGCCAAAGTTGCGATAACATGCTGCAGCTTTGTGCCGACTAATAAGACGAGCTGCAAATAAACACAATGCAGATTCTTAAAGAATATAATATATATTGTCGAAGGAAATAGTTTACATGATTTAGCTTGTCACAATCCTAAAGAGAGGATTCAAGCACAGATCCACTCAAAATATCGCATGAAAAGAAAATTCTTCACAAGAAAAGGAAAAATAAAAGAAAGAAAAAGAAACAAGCATATTTTAGTTGATTGAGTGTAAAAAGAACTCACGGCGAAAGGAATCAATGCAATCCAGAAATAGAGATTAGATCCTGCAAGTTCCAAAGTCAATACATTTTAGTATAGAACACAAAAATGATGACAATTTAAGATATATCTTTTTAAAAACAATCATTACATAAAATCGAAAAATGTATGTCTAAAACTGACAATCGTAATATCATAATAAATCTAACGCCTTCAAAACAATGTGTTTCGAAACTTAATCAGTCAGTCCACCAAAAATACTCCAATGAAGCCTAAATAACTCACCATTTTCTAATAACGATGTGAAAGTTAAGGCAGTGTAGATTTAAACTTGACATACCTTTCACGTTGAACAGCATAAAAGATACTACGAATCCCCAGAGAGGAGCACTGTGAATATCGAACAAGAAAAGAAGGAAAACAAAATAATCACGGAAAGATGCAATCGCTAATAGTCATGAAATTCCGAGCTGAGCATAAACATAAAGAAACGGATAGCACACACTTTATAGGAACTATATTACACATGGGCTTATTAAGTCAATCAACAACAATAAGTTAAATATTTTGGAATTATGATTTAAACAATACATAACTAATAGGAGCTCGAAAACTGAATTTTTTTGTTTCAAGATCAACTTAATTGTTAATTTTGAGTTGAAATATAATAATAAGTAACAAGATTAAATTTTATTAAAATATTTGTTTATTTCAAATGATGCTCTGCCTTACCTAACACCAACTATGCTTTGAAACTCTTCTTCCATGGAGCGAATCATATAGCTGTGAAAATCATATTTTGGAGTAAGGTTGTGATTCTGCCATAAACAAGAAACATAAGATGTAAATGGAAATTTTGTTACGATTGCAGAAGAATGTTCCGATTTGTGAGTAACTAAAATTGAAGTAAATCACATGACCAATAGGTGGCCGATTTAGTATGCATATCCTTACATGGACATGTATCAAAGTGATAATAAGAAGAAAAAAAAAAAAAAAAATCAAGATCCTCAAGAGATTAATATTTCTATTCATCAATTACCAATCAAAATTATCAAATGGTGATGCCCATATTTTGATCAATTTTTATATCATGTTTACATACCGTTATGAAGCCTTGTCGTAGTGTAAGGTAATCTACACGAACCACCGAATGCCCAAATTGTCGAAGAAAGCAAGTCTGAATGTTCCAAACATTGTAATTTTCAATCAGAATGTCTGTTCGCATAATAATTAACCACTTTTAACTAGAATGAAAAAATGATAATTAGAAAAAAAAAAAAAAGTTTGAAAGCACCATCCAAACGAAAAATCGGCTCCTGTCTGTAGGATTTGATACATGCACCCGGACAAAAGTTGATTGCCTTTGCAGTGTAAGTGCTTTGGTAACTTCTGCAAGAGGAAAAAAAAATAAATAACTATATCACTTGCGAATCGTGATCCAAAATCTTGGATGTTGTTCCTCAGCTTAAACAAAAATCATTTTAGTGGGGTCCAAAACAGAATAATATCCTTTTTCAGCTTTTGAAATGACTGCTTTACAATTGAAGTGACAAAATTCCAAGAAATTAGAAATGATATATTCCAAAAAAGAATATATCACCGTGCATCGAATTTGGCCGGTTTATTTGAGCTTCATCCTCCCATATTCTCCAACTGTGAATCTGCAAAAAGTAATTTTATTACAACCTATGAAGATGTAAAACATAAGTCACATCATCACACATGTTCAAACATAGAAATGAACATAATGAACTTACATGTAAGGCGAAACATATGAAATTACACGTAATCAAATAAAAAGGCACCTTTACAATAGCCAGCAACATTGTTAGGCAACTGTAAGATATGTGTGTGACTGCCATAACAAAAATGAATCGGTGGAGTTGCTCGAGGCCTTCATGTGACACAAATGGCTCATAATTCTGCATATTCCAAATAAACTCTTCTTACAACTTTTGTATGAGAGATGGAACTTTAATCATCACAAGAAAGTAAGAAAAAGACGTCAAAAACTAGAAGTAGCAAAAATAAGACGAGCGGCGAAAGAGTTAGAAAACCAATAGATGATGAAAATGCATGCACACACACATATGAATGAATAAATATAGCAAACAAATACAACTAAAAATTGTGATGTTCCATGTTGAATTAACTAGCCTCTGGGCAGGTATTCCGATTTAGACCCTTCAGCATCCTCCTATACGAGTGAAGATCCTTGAGAGCTATCAAAAGTTTGCGCTCTTTAGAGCTATTGTTTTCCCATGCCTCGTCAGCTTCCACATCCGTGCATGGAACAAATACGCTACCATATAACTTTGATGGTATGCAAATATTAGATATAATGCTTGAAGTTGCTGTAAGAAGGAGGGATATGAAACCAAGAAGCATCAATTCTGTAAAAACAGAAAAAAAAAATAAATAAAATAAAATAAATTGAAATGAAGCTCGATGTTGTAAATTATATATATTAGCCAAATACACATAAGAATTTTTACTTATACGTTAAGTTATATACGCATGAAAAATAGCTATTACCTTCCTTCATTTTCTCCAAGGCAGCTTGCAGAGGTTTTCTATTAGTTTTCTTCAACCACTGAAATTTCAATACCGATCATATAAGCTCATGGAAGACAAATTTGAGCGACAAGAATGCAAAACGGCCAAATAATCTCTATATGCTCCCAACGTAAGGTATAAAAAATTGAAGTAAAATTCACCAAGAACATTAACAGAAGTTAACCTTTAACGTCTCGATAACTAATATACATCCTCCAATTAACACACAACGGCAAAAGCACACATATGACAAGATTTTGCACCGAAAAGGAAAAAAAAAAAAATAAAAAAATCAACTAGTTAGGCTGCAAAAACAACAACTGAAAGCCTGCAAAACAGTGAAATTCATTCAATGCTAAAGCACCTGTTACTAAAATGAGACATATTGAGATTTGGGACCATAACTCGAGCAGAAAACTTCACTTACATTGCCCAATTGATGAATCGAGCGCTCGACTAACAACGAAACAACAACAAATACACTCAAAACAGAGGCCACAGACCACGTTGGACTCGAGCCCAGTGACCTCAGCTCCTTTGTATCTTCTGACATCATCCCATCCAACTTGTTCTCCGACATCCTTAACTAAAACCAAAAACTACTCTGTCCGAAATTATAGTGACAGTATCATACCACCCCAAAGAACTGACCAAAACCCATTTGAGAAAAAGCTCAAAATCAAAACTTTGTTTGAAGAATACATGCCCAAACTTCACATTACTCGGAAAAAATAACAAAACTTGCCAATAAACATTACACGCTCTGAGCCTCACACAGCAAAAAAGGGGCTAATTTGTCGGAGAAAATGGATGAAACTGAAAAGGGTCCCATCAAGAAGTACATCAATAAGCAATATAGATATAGCACGGAGAATAGAAACAGTCTTTTCAACTAGAGCCCACATGAAAAAAGATCAAATCTTGAGCTGTGAATTTTCGTAAAACTGAAGAATTGACGACGCAAACAAGCGAATGCGTTCATCAGCCTTATCGTATGCAAATATAATGAGAAATGTCGATATGGGTCTCTCTCTGCACGTGAGACTGAGATGTGAGGAGAGACGAAATGAGCTGGCCTGAGGAGCAGGTGATTCAAAGCCGATGGTCGATCTTCCAGGCTTATATTGGTTGTTATCTGCCATTTTTATACTCTTTCAGCTTGCGGGACTCTCGTTTTCGCTTTTTTAACAATTGAAAAGTTCAATCGTTGGATCACAATCTATATATATATATATAATTACTACCCAATAGCATTTAATAAAATTTATTTAATAAAACCTCTAACTTTTTTCCCTCCATTTTCGGTTACAAAATTTAACATTAATAATTTTTACTTCTCACATTAATACATCATATTAAGTGTAATCATGTATGTTTCTATTATATTATATAATAGTTATTGTTATACTAACTAATGATAATTCACAATAAATATAAATTACATAATTATAAACAATTGTTTCAAATTATGTATTTTAACATCAATATTATATTTTTCTTTTGTAGCTCATAAA